GTAGATTTCTTAGAAAGTGGGTTTCTAATGGAAATGGTGACAATCCATTAACAGCAGGAGGGCTAATGGCTGCCACTAAAAATATACTTAAAGATTACAGTAATAAAAACACATATTTTAAAGTGCCTGCTAGAAGTTCAAGAATTTTTTTTAATGTTGCTGTTAATAATAGGCCACCAGATCCTTTTGGCATTTGATTTTGTCTCATAAATGGGCTTAATCTAAAGTAATGCTGTTGTACTATAGTATTTTTTTATTTGATTTTGAGGGGAGTTGGATGTCTTTGGGCAGAATTATCAGTGCCCTTAATGGAAGGTAAATAATTGGTGTATTCATAGGCATATGGAATTTTAAATCTGGAAATGATTTTAGTGATCAGCAAGTCATCTCTCTTATATCTACTAGAGGAAACTTGAGACTCTAAAAAGTGATGGGCTAGAGCTTAGGAAGGAAAAATGAGTGCCTGAAGGAATTGATGATGTGCATGAGGTCTTAATATTTTCTCTCCTACATCATCATTGCAGTGCCTGCCCTTCTGCTTCATCTCCCTGCCCAAGACATCTGCATTATCTTCCTGTATTCCTACCATACACTTTCTGATGGTTTGTTTTGTTTTCTTTCCACATTTTTATTGGTGCATTATAGTTGTACATAATGATCTATTGTCACATATTCATGTATGCACACAATATAACAATATAAACTGGCCAGTGTCACTCCCCAGCACTCCCCCTCTCCTACCATATATACATTTTTATGATCATAAAAGTAATATACAGACAACCCTTGGTATCTGCAAGGTATTGGTTGTAGGACTTCCCTTAGATACTGAAATCTGTAGATGTTCAAGTCCCTTATATAAACTGGTGTAGTATTTGCATATAACCTATATAATTCTCCTGTACACTTTAAATCATCTCTAGAATACTTACAATACCTAATACAATGTAAATGTTATGTACATATTTCTTATACTATATTGTTTAATGAATAATAACAAGAGAAATGTGTACATGTTTGGCACAAGTACAATTTTTGGTCTACAGTTGGTTGAATTCACAGATGTGGAACTTGCAGATATGAAGAGCCAACTGTATTCATTATAGAATTATTAGAAAATAAAGACTAAAAGGAGACTAAAAATTACCTGTTGTCCCATCACCCATATCTTTTTCCTTCTACATTATATACATTACTTCTACAACATTTAAATCATGCAGAACATATTCTAAAATTGTTTTTACTTTATAATTGCTCATGAGCATTTTTTTCATATTAAATACTTTTTTAAGAACCTGATTTTCCTCAACTTCTTCGTATTTCATATGGGAGTTGTATGAGATTTCTCTAACCTATTTAGGGAGTTTTTGTTTTGTTTGTTTGTTTGTTTCACAGTGCTGGGAATGGAACCCAGGCCCTGTATACACTGGGTGGGTGTTCTACCACTGAGCCCTGTTTGCAGTTTTGTCAGTTTGACACTGCACTGAATATCCATATAAACAATAGACATTCACATAGATCTCTGATTATCTCCTCAGGAAAGAAAAAAAAATAGCTTTTGCACCTATTGCCAAATTACCCCTGAGAAAGATGCTACTGTGTATTCCTCCTACTTTTCCTGTGCCCTCATCCTCATCCTGTGCCCTCATGCAAATACTACACCAGTTTATATAAGGGACTTGAACATCTACAGATTTCAGTATCTAAGGGAAGTCCTACAACCAATACCTTGCAGATACCAAGGGTTGTCTGTATATTACTTTTATGATGAGGGCACAGGAAATTTTTTGAAGAAATTTTTTGCAATTTTTTGAAGAAAGTTAGCAATCTGATATATAAACAACTCATTACAATAATTTGCATCTGTTTGATTATCAGTGACTCTGAACATGTTTATAATTCATTTATAAATTTCTTTTGTGATTGCCATATGGAACATCCCATATTCCTTTCCTATTATGTTTTTTATTTTATTTTTATTTATTATTTTATTTTTATTTCTTATTATGGTTTTTACCTTATTTTTAATTTATAATCTCTATTTAGTATTTATTTATTTATTTATTTATTTATTTATTTATGGTGCTGGGGATTGAACCCAAGGACGCATGCCTGTTAAGCAGACACTCTACCATTGAGTCAAATCCCCGGTCCCTTTAGTCAAATGTTGCAAAAATTTCCCCCTAGTTTTTCATTTACCTTTTATCTTATTTTATAATATTTTTTCAAACTTTTAAATTTTTATGTAGTCAAACATTGACATTTTTCTTTATGGTTTCTTTTATGCTTAAAGATATTTCTAAACAACAAATCTGATCATAGCCCTCCTTTGATTAACATCTTCCCAGGGAGCTTAGGGTGGCAGTCCAGCCTCCTTCTGGAGCTCCAGGCCCAGGCTATTGTCACCCCATATGTTCTAGTCATGCCAAGCAACTTGCACTTAGTACTCTCTACTTTGTGTCCTCTGCTTGGAAAGCTGGTCCTCTCCCTACCAGTCCCCACAAACTTACCATCAACTCTAATCCCTTTTCCTGTGTATTATCAAAGACCCAGATCAGACATAGCCATCTGCTTGATTCTTGTCTTCTGCATCCCCTTCTTCTTGTGCAGTACCCAGGCTCCAGAAGATGTTCATAATAATCTGCAGAACAGAATAATCCAAATGATAAGCAAAGTCTAAAATGGCTAGTATTGGTTGAGCTTCCTTAATCTGAAAATACAAAATCTGAAATGTCCCCAAATCTGAAACTTTTTTAGCATTGAATAGATATACAAGTTAAAAATTCTACCTGACCTAATGTGACAGGTCACAGGCAAAGGAAAGATGCACAACAAAAGTATCATGTAAAATTACATTTAGGCTAAGTGTATAAGGTTTATATGAAACATAAATGAACTTTGTGTTCAGACTTGGTTCCCATCCCCAAGATATCTCATTATGTATATGCAAATATTCCAAAATTTTAAAAATTCAAAATCTGAGTCACTTCTGGTTCCATGCATTGGATGAAAGATACTCAATGTATAGGAAAATTGGCTTTGAGGGCTAGTTTAGGATAAAAAGATTGGACTGAGCTTTTGGAGGCCAAGACTCAGCTGTGAGCAATCAAAAGACCCCAGCCACCATAGGCAGAACCCTCAGAAGGTGGTGGAATGGAGCATCTGGGTGTGGGGGTTTCAGCATCAGTCAAAGGGTAGGAGGCCATGTAGGCTGCCAGCACCTAGAGGCCTGGCAAACAGGAACTCGGGGCCAGGACTGAGTTTCCCAGAAAGGTGAAGGACAGTGTCAGGGAAGGGCTCATTTCTGAAAGCACCAAGCAACAGTCACCTGAGGGCCCAGTTTGGAAAACCAATTTTACCATCCAAACCTCCTCCCACCCCCACACTCTTCTCTACCCCAGCAAATAGCATAGCCACTTTCCAGAAACTGGAATCACTTGATTTCTTACCTTCCTATGAGCAACATATTGTCTGTTAGCAAGTCCCATTGACTCAACCTTCAAAATATAGCCAGACCATATACTGTAGGATGCCATTTTGATGACATTCTGGAAAAGGTAAAACTGTGGGGCCAGAAAACAGATCTGTTGCCAGAGGTGGGGAGAGAGAATGACTACCAGATCATGAGGGAATTTGGGGGCTGATGGAACTCTTCTACACCTTGATCATGTTGGTAGTCTACCAACTGTGTTTGTCAGAACTCATAGAACTGTGCATGAGAAAGGTGAAATAAATATACCTTAATGAAAATATGGAGAAAATATAGTGGGAATCCAACCTTTTCTCACCATCATTACCACCATCACCGTTGGGCCAGCTGCCATATAACCTTGGATTCTTATTGAGATGGTCTGTTCTTCATTGGTCTCGCTGCTCCTGCCTTTGATTCAATAAAGTCTATGCTCAGCACAGCAGCCAGATTGCTTCTCAGAAGACAAAAGCAAATTTTGTTATTCCTTTGCTCAGAACTCTCCAAAGGTTTTTCTTCTCCTCAGAGAAGGCCCTACATAAAACAATCCTTTGTTCTTTCACCAGCCTAATAACTCCCAAACCCTCCCTCACTCCTCTCCCACTAGCTCTCTCCACTGCTGCCATGATGGCCTCCCTCCTCCCCTTGAACATGTCCTGTGGTTCTCATAGTAAAAGATAAGAGTTCCCACAATAGCCGCCAACACACTTAGTAGCACAGCTCTGTGCTATTTCTCTGGTGATCCCTTAACTCCCTCCCTTATCCTGTTCCCCACCCAGCAGACCCCACTCCACCCCCAAGGCCTGCTTGCTCTTCCTAGTGCATACTATGCTTCATTCTTGGAGATTTCTGCCTGGTTTCTACTCAACAGAGTCTCTCCCTCATCTCTTTCAGGTCTTTGCTCAAATAACATTTTTTTCAGGGAGGCCTTTCCTGAGCACCACATTTGTAAATGCAGCCCCCCATGACTACTCCTACTTGCTATATCCTCATCTTATTATTCTCACAGACACAGTTCCATCTGACATACCAAATATTTTGTTTATTATGGGATACCTCCTTAAGTCCACGAGGACAGAGATGTTTGTTTTATTTTATCCTGCCCCTCCAATACTGTTTGCCTGGCAAATAATAGATACTTTGGGGTGGTATTGTGGCTCAGTGGTAGAGTGAGCATGTGTGAGGTCCTAGCATTTGTGAGGCCCTGGGTTCGATTCTCAGCACCACATTAAAATAAGGTATTGTGTCTAACTACAACTAGAAAATAATATTTAAAAAATAGATACTCAATTAAATTGTGTAGACTGAAGAAAAGAAAGAATCCCAAGAACTAGCAGTGATTGTAATCTTATGTATCAGCATCTCTCTAGCTCAGAATTTTGGCCAATTCCTTACAACTCATGGTCTTTGGCAACATGGAATGTAGTCTATGATGTGGGCACAGGTTTTTGGGGTGGTGTCTTTCCTTTTTGTTTTGCTGCCACCTGAGACTGCTACGTTAACAGGCACCTTCTCTCAAATTTCTCTCTAGAAGCAGATGTTCCAGGAGAGGAGTAGCCGGATGCTACAAGCCTTATCACCCAAGCAGAGCCCTGTGAGCAGCCCAACCAGGAGCCGGTCCCCTTCCCGCTCCCCGTCACCCACCTTCTCGTGGCTTCCGATCAAAACCTCACCTCCCTCCTCACCCAAAGCAGCCTCAGCCTCCATCAGCAGCATGAGTGAGGGGGATGAGGATGAGAAGTAAAGGTGGCTGGCAGGCAAGAGCCACACCACACAGGAGGGGGAGGGGCACTGGGGATGCCTGGGTGGTGTTTGAAGGGGAAGAATCATGGGAGCTACAGCTCAATAGGGAGGCCCTGAGCTCTGCTAAGGGAAGGTTGATCTGTTCTCCCTCATCTTCCACATGGCCCAGCTGGGCTCAGCATGGAGGTTTCCAGCTGGAGAACCTCCATAAACCTTCTTAGCATCCTCTAGAATCACTCTAGTTTAACCTTGCTAAAGAGAGGAGCAGAGCACCCCAGGGAGACTTGCACTGAGTAGGGTGACTTCTGCTTTTATCCATGCCCCCATCCCCATCAAGTAAACTACCTGTGGAAGCGGCTGTTTCCTCAACCTGCTACTTTTGGCTCTTTAAAGGGCCTTGCACGTTGCCTCCTACCACCCAAGCTCTGCCAGAATAAATTTGTTTCCAATAGAGGTGGCAAAGTGCTTCCGAAATAGTCATGTTAAAGACAAATTCCAGTCTTCTCAGTGCAGCCACTAAGACCTGATGTGGCAACACATCAAATCTTTCCAGTGCCGGGACCATGGCTCAGAGCCAAAACCTTGCTTTGGATCAGATATAAAAGGTGATCTAGTGTGAACCCTAACTTCTCACTCAGAGGACAGTGTTGGCAAGGAGAATTCCACCTAAGTCCTGATGTGCTTCTGGCTGTACTTTCTCATTATTGGTGTGACTTTATTGTTTTCCAGAAATTACCTTAATCGGTGGAAACTGCAACAAGGAAAAACATCCTGTATAAAAAAAGAGGAGCTGCTTTGCTTTGGCTCCAAGTTTGGCAGATGAGAAACATCTCTCGAAGCTTCTCCTTAAAGGATGCTACTATGGAATGGCTCTTCCCATTTCTGACCAGTTAACAGTTTCATAGACCTCAAGTAACAGTTTGATGTACCAAACACATAGTATACTGATAGGGGGTGCTACCTGCACGTATCTGTTCTGTGTATGCTCCAAATATGCCACCCCAGGGTGTATACCATATGCAATATGAATATGTGGTGGTGGCATTTTATGATATACTCCTCTCCTGCTCTCCACCCTAATAGCCTGCTGAAATCCTTATCTAAAGAACCATCTGGTTCCCTTGTGACTTGGGCACTTTGTCAAAAGCTCATACCAGATTCTTGTAGAAATATTTTGTCCCAACCAGGAAATTATTATTGTTCTCATGGCCTCCCATAACATTTTGGGGTGAAGGCAGGTTCTGAAGAGTTTTGCAAAGAACAATGGGCTAGTTCTTTGAATGGGCTAGTTATTGCTGGCTATAGCTTTGTTAAATGGGATGAAGACTCTTTAAGATTCCTACAGAGTTGTCTGAAGTTACTGCTCCTTTATCACATGTAGGAAATGAGCAGGTAGAATCAAGGTTTAGAACCAAACTCTTGGGCAGACGTAGATATTGCCTCATTATCCTGGTAATGTCAGGCAGAGCTGGGATCTGACTGAGCAGAAGCCCCAACCAGCAACTTGTGGGCAGAGCCCAGCACCTCTTGTGACAGAAGCACCCCTTTTCAGGGGACTTGGGAGCCAGCCTTTTGGGGGCAACTGATGAAGGAAGGTGGCATGTCTTTCCCCTTTGTGTTGGGGTCGAACTACCTCCCTGCCCACCTGGAGACTAGCGGTGTTTGTTGGAAAGCAAAACTATGCTGCTAAGCTGGCTTGGAACCTCCTTGTTCCTGGTTTTCTCCAGAACTCTGTAAAGCACTCAAGCAAGACAGAGGGCGAGCAGGAACTTGGTCTTTGAGAAGTAAAGTTCTTTTTGCAGTTAAGGCCCTCCCAGAGCATACTCTACAGAGAGCAGCAAGGGCTCCTTTCTTCCTTTGTGTCCATTTGGCCTTTACCTTCCACCATGCCCCCAGGGCACACTGTGCATGTGTTGTATGCCTGTCAATTCACGACTGATACTTGTAGCAGTGAAAGGTCAGGGGACCAGCTAGCCAAGAAAAGAGAAACAAGGTGAGAATTAGGAAAGTGAAAAGAGGCTCCTAGAGAGAGAGGAGGAGGATAAAGAACATCCACTCTCTTAAACTATGTCAGGACCTCATTTTATAGGTGAAACTCTCTTGAGGAGGCCTTTTAATGCTGTGACTCCATGTCCCAGGGTGGGTAGATCTATTTCTAACTGAGTCCTGCTCTGGAGCAAACAATATGTGGTTGATAAACAAGTCTGAGTATAAATTTGCAGGCCTTACACAGCATACTGACAGGTGCCACATATGTGACTCATCAGATAGTGCCACCATAGCTGCCAATTATGGGAAATGACTAATAATCTGGGATATTACAGGGATGGGCCCCAACAACTGATAAGTGGGTTCTAAATCTCATCCTCCTAACCTCTAACAACACCTCCCCTCCTTCCTAAGACCACGAGTCTACTGAGAAAGGAATGGGAACATTTCTGCCAAACTTTGTTGATCTTTGGCCATCTCTCAGTCTCTCCCAGCCCCTACCCCCCACCTGCCCTGCACCCAGGAGGAACTGGAGTTGCCCTTTGTTTGGGCCATCCAGTCAACAGTCATGGCCAAGAGCAAGTTAAGGCTGGAATAAGAAATATAGTAAATATGCTGCAAACTTAGTGAGGTAAGCAGAAGTTACAAAAAGCAAGAAAATAGATTTTGTTTTGCTGTAGAAATGGAAGGAAACTTCAGACTGAAAAGAGCTAGATGAGAGCAGTTTAGGATTGTGGATGGGGCAGGTTATGAAGATGGGAAAAAATGGGAGTGAAGAAATGTGGGAGTGGGAGGGTCAGTATTTTCTGTTCCCTTTCCAGGGTTAACTTGGCCCCTAATAGGCAAAGGAGGAAGGTTCCTATTACATACCTCCAAGCTCAGTGGATATGCATGCAGCACAGGTGGCAATCAGGTGCGAGTCCCTGCCTCTCAGCCTTTCACATTTCAGTGCTTCCACATCCTCCTGACAGGAACCCTGAAATCAAATTTTGACCCCTCCTCCAACTAAACAAGTGTGGAATTATAACACCACAGTCACACTGCATGACCTGTTTCTGGCAAGCAAACTCCAGTGTGCCAGGACCTTACAAAGGCAAGGGGAAGCCAGCCTCATGAGGAGCAAGACAGATGGAGCCTAACTTCTGACTTGCTCTGGGTGAAAGAAACAGCAGGGGAATTTCAACCTTTCTCCATGTTTTAGGCTCCTAGAGGCTGTGATTTCATCCTTGAAGGGGAGGGGAACAGGAAGAGCACAGATTTGTTTTCTCTCCATCTTCAGGACTTATTTTGGCACCCAGTCATACCCCAGGGAGGGATGCAAAATGGCATCACTGGCTCAGCTGAATCAGATGAGCTCCTAACTAGCAGACATGTGCCTGTTTCTCAGGCATCCATGCAGCATTTGTCCTGGCTGTCTGATAAAAAAAATAGCTTATGAGGCATTTGCAATTCTCCTTTTCTCTAGACGCCTCTCTAGTTTCTTTGTTGTGTCACTGCAATGTGTCTGGGGACAAAGCCATAAGAAGAGCATACATACTTAAGACTCTGCTGTACATATAATAAGACAAGAAGACGATGATGACTTGTCTGGGTTAAAGCCCGACCTAATGCCCAAGCATTTGCTCTGGTGCTGAATAATGTGAACTACTGGAATCAGTACCCTTCCCCATACTCCTTCTCCATCCCCACTCCTGCTCCCAAACACAGCATTCCCAACTTGTTTATAAATAAAGGGATGCAGAATTGCACTTTTGCCTGTTGTGTTTCTTGAGTGTGCTATTGTTGTGTGCCCATTTAGAAGCTCTAGTTAAATGTGGAAAAATACAGGCATTAGAGCAGCTGTCCCAGACCTCTGGCTGGCTTTGCCCAGCTGTGGCTCCAGCACTCAGAAGGATCTGACTACACTGTGCAAAATGGGGCCAAGTCTTGAAGTTGCTAAATGCCCCACATCTTGATTTAAAAGCTAAGTTAATAATGCACCCATTAAAAACTCTGGAAAGAGAGAGAGGGAAAAAAAGGTGAACTTACACAGAGCCACCTGGAGGGAAAGTCATGTGGTAAGCCCAGTCGGGAACCTAGATTGTTGGTCTTATTACTCACTTGCTTGGTGACTTTGGCCAACCACTTCACTTCTCTGGTCTCTACTTTTGTAAGATGAGAGTGTTGGAGGAAATGGTTTCTGAAGTTTCCTTTGGCTGTGAAGTTCTATGCATTGCTCCCAAGCTTCTTGAAGCTATCATGCTCTCTGTGTGACCAGGAGAAAGTGCTTACTTCTCACTGAATAGAAAGCTGGAGAGGTGGTCCTCCAGTCCCCTGGGGTCTCCACAACCAGCATTACTGGTGATCTTACTTCCATAATTGGAGCATCAAGATAAAAGACTCTGACTTTACCTTTCTTACTTTGCCACTTAACAAAATACTTCATGTGTACCTAGACTTTGGGAAGTGGCCAGTTTAATACTTTTCCTTTTGGGGGAGGAATCTCCTTTGATCAGCTGGAGACAGGCAGATGGAGGTGGAGGTGCTAAGTCATGCCCAAATGTCAACAATGAAGGCAAATGTTGATGTTCTGCAAAGTGTGCTTATGCCCTCCCCTCACTCAATTTAGGAGCTTCCATTACCACCATCTGGAGGGGTTTAGCTCTTTGAAGTGAATATAGTTCTAATACTAGCTGGATTCTAGAATAAATAAAGCTAGGGATGTAGTGATCAAGGGAATACATTTTAAAACAATACCTGTTATTCATAGACCACATTATTTGGCCTTTTCATACAGATTAAACATGATCTTGACAGATTGTATTTAAAGCAAAAGTTAATTGGTTTTTCTTGACTTTTCTGATACCTCAGACATAATCTCCAGGGGAAAACAGCAAATTCTAAGCTATGATAAAACTCATATTTAAGAACTTTGATGTTTGATGCAAAGAGAATTAACCTTTGTTAATAAACAGAACTCCTTGGAAGAGGTACACTACAAAAAATGTTTCCACGTGTTTCCATTCCACACATTGTGTTGGAGTACTCATTGGCTATTGAAATTGAAAGTTTAAGGGACTTCTCCAGGTATTCAGCAGGAGATGTCAGATAAGACTGCCATCAGGACATTTTCCAGACAGAATATGACAATCTGTACACATATAGGTGTACCCAGTGATCAAATTATTTTAGAAACCATCAAGTACAAAACAACAAATAACCAGTAAAATCTAAAAATACTATTAACACCACAAATATCTGCAGATAATAACTAGGGCATATATTGGGTATTTCTGTACTGCATTACTTGTATCCTAGAAAAGACACCAAATAGGCTAACTCTCAGTTGCAATTGATCAAATGTGGTAAAGTTGATGAGATATATTCAGGATAGGGTTGACTTGTGCTGTTCCCTATAAATCATTTTATTCTCCTTTACTCAATCTTTCTTGGGTGGTAGGGAAGAAGGAATTAATCCACAAGGTTAATGTACTCTATTCATAAAAGGAGAGTTCTGATTAAGGGATTAGGTATAACAAAAATATTAGACATGTAACTTTTCATTTAAAAAGAAAAATGAAATCATACTTGAAAAAATATGGAGTACTCTATCCTTTCCACAAGGACCCTTTTCAACTTACTATACTTGCAAATAATCCTGTTACTCTAAAATTTCCAAGTCTAGAGAAAACCTGTCATCATCTGCCAAGTATGTGGCAGGCCATGACTCATCACCTACCTTGAGAAGATAACCAGTCTTCCTTTCTTGTTTGGTAGTCATGTTCTACTACACAAATGTTGATGAGATGCCATTTACTATCCTGATCACAAACTCACATTAACACAAATGATTCTCTGATTTTTCCATTTGTTTCCATATCTGGTGCCCCTAGATGAATGATAGATGAAATAAGTTGAAGAGGTGTGTGTGAGTTTCTTATGGCTGAAACAAATTATGAAAAGTTTAGCGACTTGTGACAATACAACTTTATTGTTTTATAGTCCTGGATTTCAGAAGTCCAAAATGGGTCTTCTGTGCTAAAATTAAGATGATAACAGGTGATGGAGGTTCCTGTCTGTGGAGAATGTAGGGGAGAATCTGTCTCCTTTTCTTTTCTTGACTCATGGCCCCCTAATGTCTAAAATGCCAGCAATAGTCAATCCAATCTTTCTTACCTGACATCATTTTGACACTCTTTCTTCTGACTCCCTACCTCACTATAAAAGCTCTTGTGATCACACGGGCCCACCTGGAAAATCCAGGAAAATCTCCCTATTTTTTAAGGTCATCAGCAATTTTATCAGCAACCTTAATTTCTTCTTGTATTACAACATATTCCAGGATTGTAAGGATTAGGATTTGAACATCTTTAGGGAGTCAATATCCTGTCTAGGGTGTCCAAGGAGAGCAGTTATAAACCCTTAAATTTTCTTCCAGGTTGAGGAACAGTTATCTTCTGGCAGATAGATTGATTTTCTGTTTTTTTAACATTTCTATTTAACATTTAAATTCTTATTTGACAGCTAGTAGAGATGACCTTGCTTAAATGTTTCTCAATTCTTGACATCCACAAGAGAAGCATGGAATAGATAACAATGAGATATGTCTGACCCAAATAAACATGCTATTTGGTCCATGAGGATTCCACTCATGAACATAGAGCCATGACCAATACAGAAGGAAATTTAAAGAGTTTTCTTTTCCTATTCCCTTTATATACCCTCCAATCCATACATGACTATCTAAAACAATAAGTGAAAAAGGAGCCAGGTGCAGTGGCACACGCCTGTAATCCCAGCAGCTTTGGAGACTGAGACAGGAGAATTGCAAGTTCAAAGCCAGGCTCAGCAATGGCAAGGTGCTAAGCAACTCAGTGAGACCCTGTCTCTAAATAAAATACAAAATAGGGCTGGGGATGTGGCTCAGTGGTCGAGTGCCCCTGGGTTCAATCCCTAGTACAAAAAACAAAAGTGAAAAAGGAGCCAGGCATGGTGGCACATGCTTGTGATGCCAGTGGTTTGGGAGGCTGAGAAAGGAAGATCGCAAATTCGAGGTCAGCTTCAGTAACTTAGCAAGGCTCTAAGCAACTCACCAAGACTCTAAGCAACTTAGGAAGACCCTGTCTCAAAATAAAAAATAAAAAGGGCTGGGATGTGTCTCAGTGGTAAAGTGACTCTGGGTTCAATTCCTGATACCAAAAAAAAAAAAAAAAAAAAAAAGCTAATCAAAGTCTTTGATTATTAGATATTTGGATATGTTCTTGCTGAAACAAATCCAGGGATATAGTTTATTCATATTCTTCCCTTGTTTTTCCCCCTTGCTGGTCTTTTGGATGCTGGCTGCAGCCAGTTTAAACTGGCACTCATTTCCAACTATCAAGTATCAAGCTATTCCAGGCTCCTTTCCAGAATAACTTATTTTCCTGTCATGGCCCTTGGTCTTTATTTTAACTTAAGGTCTACCAAACATTCCCATCTAAGTACTCAGTAACATTTGAGTGAACCTGTAGTTTCTAGGAACACAAAGATTAAAAAGGAAAAAATACCTAGCCCCCAATTTCAGTTTAATAGCCTAGCTCTCAGTTCTCTCTTGAGTACTCCTACCTTTGAATCTACTGAGCTCTTAATGAAAAGTCCACGTTTCTGGCCACCAAAACTTTGATTCTACCAAATAAAATTTTACAATTATTTTACTAACTTACTAATTTTACATTACTTATTAATTTCTTTGGGGTGGAGTGCTCTAACTGTCCCAGAATGCAAAGATTGCCAACTCTTACACAGATTAGGGGAAAATAGAAAAATTAAGGAAATTAATTTAATAGAAAAATTAAAAAAGATTTTCTATCTATTTGAAACCACTCTTTGAGTATGTTGAAAAGAGGAGACTGACAATGTCATCTCTTATCTAGGCCCATGAACAAAGGTATAAGTGACCTACCAAAGTCATCACTAACTTCTCTTCAGAAGCTTGACAAACAGGCCTGGGGCCTCTCAGGGAATAGTTTAAACTTTGGCCAGGGTTGTTTTGTGGATGAGATGGTCACTCCAAGCCTCTAGATTCTTTGATTATGGGGTGTCTGATGGGCATCCCTCACTTGAATAATAAGACACTTATGTGTCCTCATAAACTGTTATTTCATTACCAGTTGAAGCCCAGGAGTAGAGTTTACATATAGGAAGCTTCATTCCAATTATTGCACTAGGTGACAATAATTACCTCTAACTTTAGAAATAATTATGCTATTATATATTAAGCTCTTTCTAAGGAACTATCAAAAGCTTCTGCATCCATCACTGTTATTGAAATCATTAACATGTTTATTTTATTTGAGGACTGGCAAATTCTGTTTGGACAAGAATTCCACAGAACAGTAAGGGTAGCATAGGCCTAGCTTAGAATTTTATGCACAGTATACATGCATAAACATGCATAACAGGCTATGTAGTTGCCCTAAATTTAAACAGACAAGGCCTTTTCTCCTTTAAAATTTTTTCCAATTATCAGTTAAACAGACTATCAGTAAGTCACAAGGATCCTAGTCCTGTTCTGTGCCAAGGAGATGGGTTTGCTGTTCCATAATTCAGATTTAACCAGTGGTTTTTGGCCCTGTCACACATTAGAACTCTTAGAAAACTCAAAAACTACTTCCCAGAGCCCTCTGATGGGGTCTAGGCCTTGGAGCTCCCAATATGGAGGTAGGTTAGGACCCTCTGGGCTATTGTAATACTTCAGCTCAGGGAAAAAGCAAGTCTGAGACTAGCTGAG